GCTGAGGGAAGCCGGCGTAGAGAGAGTCGGAGGTCATCGGTGCTTGGCCCCTCTAATGCCTCAGGGGTCCCTCTCTGCCGGGGGTGGGTGCTAAAGGGCCCCTTTCATCCTCTGAGCTGAGGGTAACAAGGGGGCCCTAAAGGTAAAAAGTCGTGTGGGTGAACCTGTACGGCTCAGAGGCCTGGAGCTTGAGCGGTTTCCCTGAGGGCCGTTGCTCCGACCCTGACTGGAAAGCGAGAGGAGTCACTGCTGCTGTTCTGCTAAAAAGAGAACAGTTTTGGGGCTTGTGGTGAATAAAAGATGTTATCCTTGCTGAGATGGTGCATTCATTTCTTGCCTATGAGAAATGTGTGGTTGTTTCTTTTTCTCAAAGACCTGTGATGACACTTAGAGGGCTTGACGTCTACATGTAATAGTCTTTTAATGCGTATTTTAAAGCCTGAGTGTAGCCATTTGGCTTATAAGTCTCAATTTCACAAGCTACAGTATAGGTGTAGCAGTGCTGACTAATCCAAAGATGCTGTAATTTTAGTTAGAAGAGCGATGGACCATCCAAATGTATCAAATGTATAAACTGTGATAGAGGAGAGATCTCCTCAGAATAAAAAAAATCTGTACTAGGATATGTTACTCAAATTGCTTTATCAAACGTGCCTTTCAGTAGAAAGTATTTGGAATAAAAGATGCCTAAATCTTGTGCAGATAAAAGCGTTGTGTGTTTCAGCTCAACACGTTTGATACTTTGTCTGTGAGAAAAGTAACATAATATAAAGGCTTACTCGAGAGTTATATACGGTGATTTCCATCTGAGTGCTAAGTATGTATTGCATCTGAAGTGTCTGCCTATAACAAATGTGGAAGTGGACTCTAAAGTTATGGTAATTTTTGTATTTGTTTTAAATAACTTGAGGAAGTTATAATATTGAAATCAGCATTGCCTGAAGACTTGCCTCATTTTTGCAATGTGTGGTATCATGATCTATGTTAATGTCATGATCTATTGCATACATATAAAAGATATCTGAGGCGTTGTCTTTGTGGTGGTAACTGAACTCTTTCATTTGTTATGCTGTGGAGAGACTTTGATAATTCTCACCAGCAAAAAATTGTGGTGAGGAATGCTGGAAACTTCATGATGTGTAATGAAAAATATCGGTAGGTGTTGTGCTATTAGGGATATTTTTCTTATGTTGACTTCTTACTGTTGAGGAGTTGGACATGTGAAGACTCTGGGAACAGTACAAGAATGTTAGGGCAAGGTGTGTAACTGTGGGATATGATCACAGTGCTTCATGCAATTCCTAACAGCGCTGGCGTTTAGCTTCAGAGTAGTGAAGCCACCGTAATTGCTCCTTTTCAGAGGTAGTCTAAAGTTTTAAGTAGATCTGAAGTGCTTTGGAGGTAAAACTAATTTTTGATAGGTCTTTCTTCTTGTATTTTAGTCTGAAAACTGGGTTCTTAAAGTGGAAACCAGATTATGACAGCGCAGCTACCGAGTATGGGAAGGCAGGTATGTATGGCTGTAAATATGGCCTTATGCTTTATGGTTTCAAAGTATGCTTTAAGCTTAATCTCTTGTCACTTTTTACATATATTCAGTACATTGTTGTATTAGTAAAACTGTTGTAAAGACTAAGTAAGATGAAACAACAAAAAATACTCTTAGTAGCAGTGCAAAATAAATTGCAGATTGTGCTTGGAGATCTAGAACAGTTATCAAAACAGTTACGTTTGGGTTTTTTTGAGCTTTCAACTTTTACTTTTTATAATACTACATGTGATAAAGTTTTCATTCTTCCACTTGTCCACCCCCAAATCCCATGACTTTACTTACAAAACAACAAGTATTGAAGCTTGTTTTAAAACTCTCATCATCTTATGAAGTGTGTCCTGACAAAGACTGTCTCTGTAAGCAGAGGTGCTGTCTGGTGTTTTTAGGCATAGTGAGACCTCATTTCTCCTTTTTTTTTTTTTTTTTACTTCTCCACTGCAAGTGTTGCACTGAATATAAAATTCTTACTAGTTCATTCCTTTTTGCTCTTAAAAATTTTCTTCCTTTTCATGGAAGTAATTTATTGTGGTTTCTTTGACTTTTTACTCTAGGCATTCGTACTCATTCATTTAAGCCTGAATAAAAAATGCAAACATGGAGGAGTGACTGGAGCATTTATAAATTAAATTTATTTTAAATCCTACTTTAATGTTCTATCAGTCTAATGGAGATAGAAATACTTGTGTCCTGAAGTGGTTGTGTTGAGGAAGTTGTTATAGGTATGCTTTGTTAGTGGTACACTTCTATTCCTGCCATACTGATTTTGTGTAACGTCTAATGGTTAAAACTATGTATATGTGCATTTGTGAAGTTGTGTAATTAAAATCCAGAATGAGTGAGTTGCAAAATCCAACTACACACATTATGCACAATGCACAGCGATGGTGTGGAAGTGTTGCTGACAATAAATGTTTTTAATGGTAACTAAGTGACTGATGAGGCGAGGAGAATTGTCATGGTTTTTCTTTGGAAGAGCTTGGTAAACTGAAGCCATACATTTCAAGAGTCTGTTTGCATCTCTAGGTGGCTAAATTATTGAGCAGAAGTAGTGAAAAAAGGAAAATGGCAAACTGTAAATATGAACTTTGTTTGATTTCTTTCAGCTGTTGCTTTTAAGAATGCCAAGCAGTTTGACCAGGCAAGGGAAGCCTGTTTACGGGAAGCTGAGGCACATGAAAACAATAAAGCGTATCTTTTCATTGATTATTGTTCTTTTTTCCCAAGAAGCTGACTAATTGCTACTTAGAATGGAGTAATGGGGTTGGTAGAAGATGTATTCAATGTATTTGTGCGTTTTGTCAGTCTAACAAAATTGTCTTTTAAAAGGCTATTCCTGTGTGCTCTGAGTGAGAAAACTAAAGAACTCTTTTGGTTAGAAAATCTGTGTTGTTTCTAATAATGACTGGATTAATAAGATGCTGACCGGTGCCTGAGAAGTCCAGATACTGCTTCAGAAATTGTGGTATTTTTTTTTAAATACTTACAGATGGATGGTATAAACTAAATGCAACTCTGATATTATTGTAATACTTATAGTAGTATTTAGTAATCAGGAACATATTTTAAATAAATGTACTTTTTACAATTTTACATGCAATTATACTTGGATATGTCTTTAGAAGCATCTATTTCTGGCACCTTGCCTACAAATATAGTAGACTGGATCTGCCTTATGTGATTCCTTGCTTTGAAACTAGTATTTGTGTAAGATTTTGTACATTAATATTTTTTCTACATTGTATTTTTGTGACTGTTGTCCTTGACTTTGACAATGTTGCTTCCAGTCTCTTCCATGCTGCCAAGTAAGTACAGAAGTAGTGGGCAATCTGAAACAATTTTTCTAATATATGGTACAACCATGAACTGTCATTTTGATCACACTGTAGTAAATGATATGGTTCAAGTGATTTTGCAGTTTTCAGAATCAGTTAAATGGAAGAGCAGGCTAGCAAAATCTGAAAACCTGGAATGACCATCTGAAGGAATGATCTTTTGGTGTCAGAATTTTTGCTTAGATGAACTTTTGCTGCTTTTAAAATTCTATACTATTGATCTTATAATTTTTTTTTTAATTAAAGAGTGCTTCAGAGCAAGCAGATAATGACAAATAATGCAGTTACTGCCTGTGAGTCAGATCATGAGAATAGATTTTTACTGGGGAGTGTGGTTGAAGTATTTCATTTGTGGAAGATAATGTTACCCACGCACTGTCTCATTAAATAAAACACTTGAGATATCTTCAAAGCATTACATGTTAACAGTGAAGCGATAGCAGATGCATACTGTAACTACAGCTTGCAGAAATACACCACATGTAACTGAATTGTAAATTCTTTCTCCGCAGAGCCTATGAACAAGCTGGCATGATGTTAAAGGTATCTTCATGTACTATTTTTTATTAAAAAGTTCTGTTTCGTAGTAAGGAGTATTGTGTACTGGAACATCTTGCACATATATGCAAATGAATTGCATATTAAAGTAATATTTTTTGGCTTATAATCCCCCCTAGTACCTTCAGTAGGTTCGGGAAGTGACATTTGTAATTGGAGGGGGTGGAGGAAAAAAAAAGGTTTTCCTTTTGAAGGGAAAGGTGAAGGCCTCATGTCAGAGGGTAACAGAAAGTGGTGCTGTGTCTGCTCTAAACTACCACAAATGTATGCCTTACAGGAAAGTTTGGTACTTACAAATGAATTTTATGGAGTCGGTGGTCAACTTTCACGAGCTCTACATGTTTGTCAATAAAAATCAGAATCTTTATAAATAAGATATTAGTGTTTGCCTTGATTTGTTTCATTGTACCTAAGCCCAATTCCTGAAAGCAGGAATTGCTTTGCAGGAGATGCAGAGACTCCCTGAAGCAGTGCAGCTGATTGAGAAAGCCAGTATGATGTACCTGGAGAATGGGACACCAGATACAGCAGCTATTGCCCTGGAACGGGCAGGAAAGTAAGTCTGTGGTATTGGGGGCTAGAATGCATGCAGGGCACGGGTATGACTTTGGTTTTGTTTCTTCTCTTTTTGATGCTTTCAGGTAAAACGTTTTTTTCAGCTGAAGAGAAATGACTTATGTTTGTTACAGGTTAATAGAAAATGTGAGCCCAGAGAAGGCTGTGCAGCTCTACCAGCAAGCAGCATCAGTGTTTGAAGTAAGTAGAGTTTGGGGGGCTTTTTTTTTTTTATTTTTGCCTGCCAGCAAAGAACTTTCCAGTCCCAGAAGGTATATGAAGATGAATGAATTGGTGTTTAGTGTTAGTTATAAAATTAAGAAAAAGCCTAAGACTAGATTCTAAATTATTTTTCCTTCCTTTTGTATCAGTAGCTGAGTAATGAAGCTGAAGGATTCTTATGCTGTAGAGGAGGAGATTATAAACATTAGGAATCCAGTTACTTTGCCTTTTTCTTAGTTTGGGGCTTGTTTGTGGCAGAGTTTTCTATGTTGTCAAGTCTTCTATCTCTTGTTGGGCAGCTCAGAGGTTAGGGAACGTGACTGATGCTCTTCCCATCCCACGAGCAGATGATTTGTCTTTCTGTAATGGCTTTTGATGTCTTTCTTTATCATCAGTTGTCACATGTTTCCAGATGAGCCCCTTCCCTGGAGATGTTCAAGGCCAGGTTGGATGAGGCCTTGAGCAACCTGGTCTAGTTAAGGGCATCCCTGCCTATGGCAGGGGGGTTGGGTTAGATGATCTCTAGGCTATTCTATGATTCTAAGTTTGTATTGACATTACCTTGCTCGGTAGACTATCGGGTCAGGCTGAGGTGGAGTTAATCTTCCTGCAGCAGCTCTCTCGGTGCTGTGTTTTTGGAGTGGTAGCTAGAAGGGTTTTGATAGCACCCCAGTGCTCACACAGCACCAAGGCTGTGGTTTTCCAACATTCCCCCAGCAGTAGGCTGGGCGTGGGCAGCATCTTGGGAGAGGATACAGCCCGGCCAGCTGACCCAAACTTACCAAAGGGGTATTCCATACCATATGACATCAGCTCAGATATAAAAGCGAGAAGGAAGAGGGAAGTGGAGGGGCATTCGCTATTTGTCTTAGTCCTCTGGAGCAATGGCTATGCGTGCTGGAGCCCTGCTTCCTGGGAAAGTGGCTGGACATCACCTGCTGATGGGAAGTAGAGAATAATCTTTGTTTCACTTAGCTTCTGCGCGTGGCATTTGCTATTCCTGTATTAAACTGCTTTTTATCTTAACCCATGGGCCTCTTGTTACATCTTCCCTCCCCCTGTCCATCTAAAAAAGGGGAATGATAGAGCAGCTCTGGTGAGGTCCTGGCCTCCAGCCAGGGCCAAACCACTACAGGTAGATCTGTACAGGAGCTGGCTGTGGGACTTGAGTGTACTGATACTTTTCATGTTTCCCTTGGTTGTGTGAATTGCTGATATAGTAATTAACAGCTGGTCTAAGTTACAGATGATATACTTAGATTAAGGTCCAGAGGTCTTAATTTTATGCAAATGAAATATGAATGTATGAATTATTTTTGTTTTTCTGTAGAATGAAGAACGTTTACGGCAAGCATTAGAAATGCTAGGGAAGGCATCAAGACTTCTAGTCAGAGGACGCAGGTATAGCTTTATATCTTTTTGATTTTAAATTTTACTGACTTTTTTATAGCGATTTTTTTTTCTTGCTGTTGTTGGGTTTATATACTCTTACTTAATTCTTTGAGATGAACTTCAAACTAAAACTCAGTTTCTGTGGGATGTGGCATGGTCATCCAGGAACCACCTGGTTTTTATCCTGAGATGGGAGGATGTGGGTGCTAAGGCTTTGTTCCCTTTGTGTTTGTTGAATAGCTAGAAAGCACATATACCTGTTCTTATTGATTCTTAAACTACTTCAGGAATTTGTGTGGGATTTTTTTTCCCTTCTACCACTAATATGTAGAAAGTACTTGCAAGTCTTCTGTAGCTGTGGGATATAACAGAGGGGAATTAGGTGACTAATCTGAGGAAAGAAATCTGCCAGCAGTCTGATTGTTGACTTCTTAAAGATTATATGTTTGAATCTCAGTGGGAATATATTTTAATTGTTAATTGCTAGCCCCAAACTTGACCTGCAGTTCAGCTTAGACTTGCTTCACTAAAGCACATATTTCCTTTAAGAAATTATCTGCACTTCTAAATCTGAATTTAAGACACTTTATTTCACTGCAGAGTTGTAGTTGGAAACTGATACTTATAAAGTAACTTGAAAATCTGTGAAAACAGTCAATATAGCTTTGGAACATCTGAAAGACTTGTTTACTCTGCTGCTTTATAGCTCGTGTGCTTTTGCTAATTTCTTGAAGTTTAAAATGGTGAATGAAAGAGTATTCAAACTCAAAATCAGCTACTATGATTTAATATGGATAGTTCATGGATATCAGACTTACTGATAGCTTATAGTAACCTCATACAGAAATATCTCAGGGTACATAACATGGCATTCATCTTGTACAATGTTATGAAAAGTGAATTTTCTCAGAATGAATACCAGGTAAACAGAAGGGATTGCTGACTCTGTATTTACTCATCTACTTTGCTAGTAATCTGCTGATTTTTAATTGTGCTGCTTTTTATTTCAGTAGACTTGAGGTGTATTAGCTAAGCACTTTGTAATTAGCCTCAGGTTCCTTATGCTGTACTCCTGACACTAATACTCCTAACTCTTCTTTGATTTTTTAGATTAGATGAGGCTGCATTGTCTCTTCAAAAGGAAAAAAGTATTTATAAGGAAATTGAAAACTACCCAACGTGCTATAAGGTAAATTCTAAGAGACAGTTTCTGATAGTGTCTTTCTGGGTAACTAGCTGGCATCTGACTGGCAGTATGTACCTCTTGATTCAGGAATATGTTTAGATAATCTGTGGTAGTGCTTGTTTCCCCAGCCTCTAACTGTGCTTTTTTCACTACTGTAACGCTGAAGATAAGATGCTGTTATCTGCAGGAGCTGTGAAATACAACAAACACATGAAAAATGAAGATGTTATCAAAAATAAACCACAAAAATATTCGTGTAACAGTTCGTTACAGTGTTTTAGTAGATAATCTCTTTCATACCAGTTGAGCATATGGGTAACTACTTTTTCACTATGTTGTTCTGTCTCGTGTCAGTAATTTAGGATTATTGTGGATCATAATGACCTTTTTCACATTAAATATTAGCAGTCTAGTATTTTTCTAACATTTTACTGGTAATTTATAGAGAATCACCAGGTTGGGTCTTTTTTTTTTTATTTAGAAAACAATTGCTCAAGTCTTAGTTCATCTTCACAGAAATGATTATGTTGCTGCAGAAAGATGTGTGAGGGAAAGCTATAGGTAAGTCTATGTCATGTCCTATAGTTTTAAACTGAATGTTTCGTTAATGTAGATCTGTTCTTATGAAAGAGCATTGGAAACACTGTCTGGTAAGAAATTTTAAGCCTGTACGTCTGTTGACTTACAGTACAATAATAGCATTCCTATTATATGGCAATCAGGATTTTTTTTTTTTGCTCTTAACAGCTGTAATTACCATGATGATTCTTCTTAATGAACCTAAATAAAAACTTAGTCATAAAGAAGTAGTTACGAGCAACAGGTGAAATGAGATGGAAATTAAAATATGGTAATACAGTCTTCTATTACAGTTTGAGAATGGAAATACAAATACAGTCTCAAAATGTGTGGTAGCAGCATCCCAGTATATTCAGTTAAGCTACCCAGTATGGTGATTAGATTGAGGGAAAAGTTAATGTAGGGGGTTTTTTGAAGAAAAATTTGCAGCATATGAATTACTACATTTCTGGTTATGCTGATCTAGGGGATCTTGCCCTCATCATACATGGAAAGACAAGCAAGTTTTCTGGGGTTTGTGACTTTTATTTTAAAATGATTAATTGAACTGAAAGATAAATAGGAAGCAGAAAGTAGTCTTGGACTAAAGAAGGAATTGGAATAAAGAAGCAATTCTTTAAATGTCCAGGAGAAAATTCTAGTGTCAAAATCTGGATTAGTGTTCAACGAGGTTCTAGAGGCATTCCCAGCAACTCTCCACTTCAGCTTTCAGTAGGACTTCAGTAACAAAATACTGCAGCAACATGTTTTTACTTAAACTATGTTTTTAGTGAAATGACTTGAATATATGTGTGATTTAAATTTTACTTTAGAAAGAATTTTTCAAGACCAGTCTTTAAACATCTTGCTGATACTTTCCAAGTCTTCAGTTTGTATTTTATATACAGAAACTTATTACAGAATTTTTTTTTATGTACAGTGGAGAAAGAGTACATCGACTGGTCAGGAAAAATTTTAAAATTTTAATGTTCTCTCTCTATCTTGATGATGACTGTACACCCAGCACACGCATGCAAACTATTACTGCTGAAAGTTTAATTTTATGGATATGATCTATGTACCTGGAGAAATCAAAGTGGTTATAGGCAGGTTTCTGGAATAACCAGTCCATGAGATTCTTAAAAACTGCTTACTCTTCTACTATTAATCAGTGGCATTTAAAGGCAGAACAATTGGGTATCAAGTAGATTACTGTGAAAAGCCCTAAATGAACTCTGAATTTCCTTCAGTATACCAGGATTTAATGGAAGTGAAGACTGTGCAGCACTAGAGCAACTTTTAGAAGGGTATGACCAGCAAGATCAGGATCAAGTTTCTGAAGTCTGTAATTTGCCACTCTTCAAATACATGGACAATGATGTAAGTAGGCAGTTTTTATGGACTTTTTTTTTTTATAATCCTTTTGCTAGTTCAGGTTGAGAGAGATTTTATTTCTCGTAGAGGATGTTAAGAGGAGGGTCCAAGTAGTTATTGTGAGTTTCTCTGTCATCCTACCCCATGCCTGTGAACTTTATATATTCTTTTACTTTGCTGCCTGCCAGTGTCAATTCCCACGTTGTTTATTCTTTCAAATGGTGGGAAGTCTTAGGTGAGAGCAGTTTGTTATGAATTTGCTGAAGTTTGACAAGTTGACTAAAATGCAGTTCACTTCTGCTTAGTTCCTTAGGGGCCAGACAAGTTTGCTGCTTATGCTCTATCTCAGAAATATCATATCACTGATATGCATGCATAAACATTACAGAATGGGATGCCTCCAGGATGGTATTATTGAAAGGTTGGGTTTTTTTCAGTGCCTATTCTTTAGCAAGGTAGTAATTAGGGGATTTTTTTTTTTAATTTTAAGAAAGTAGTTGTGTCCTGTTCTGCCCTCACAGTTTTAAAAAAGATAATAAAATTGCACTTGTAAATTGTAGAAGGATAGTAAAGGTGTGAAACAAAGGAAACATCCATTCATGCCAAACTTTATTACAGTATTGACTGATTTTACTTTGTTACTATGTTGATAGTAAAAGTTAAGGTACTGGTCTTACTGAAAAACACTTGTAAAACTTTTTGCATGAACTATTACTAGATAGCATATGCAGAACTATGTACTGAAAAATTGGGATTTTTTTATGTAAAGCTTGAAACACAAACTGCAGGATGTGGCCAAGTTATTCTATAATAAGCAATATCAATACAGATCTTGCCTCCCATTCTCAAGAGTGTTTGAGATAGAAAAAATAAACCAATGTTAGGCTTATTTTAATCTGGAAAAAACAGACTCTGAAAGCAGCATCAATCAGTGTTCTGAACTGAGTGTTACCTGCTTGTTTATTGTGTCAGTCTTCTGTGCAGTCTGATTCAATAAGATTTTTTTTCTGTGATGGTACAGAAATTAAACTTGCCTTATCATTGTCAGTATGCCAAGCTTGGTCTTACCTTGGTGGTCCCAGGAGGTGGAATCAAGAAAAAATCGCCAAATGCTGCACAAGACAAAGCAAGAGGACTGGCTGCAGGGGGCTCACATGCTGATGAGGAAGAGGATGAATATTCTGGTGGACTATGCTAGCTGCAGACATAGTTTATCTTAAATATCTGACTTATTTGTGATGTTGAGCATATCCAAAGGTACCAGATTTACCAGAGCTTCATTGCAATTTTGATATGGGAATGCTAATATTATCTTGGTAGCTCCTGGGTACAATACAGGAGAAAAAGCACGATTGTACCTATCATCTTGACACATCTTTGGACTTCATTTCTTACCTGGTAGGAGCTTCCTCAGGGCCCTGCCTTCATTCAATGGGAAAATTTTGAGCGAAGTTTTTACTAAAAGCACAGTTTAAAAAAACCAAAGCCCCAGAAGCACTGGTGTAGGGAGAGTGGTAGAAAATTTCAATTCTTGATTTTGACAGCTGACGCATTTTGAGCCCAGTAATATATTTGTGATTGGCTTTTGAGTAAAATATACAGTCATCCATCTGCCTCTTTATCTTCTGCTTAACACCATTTGAGGCAGACTGTGCCACACAGGTTTCTTAACCAGTATTAAGCACTAGAGGGAGCATTCAGATTGCTTTCAACATGTTCTTACTCCACTGTGAAAATACTATTTTAATACTATATTCTTTGCAGGCAATATCCGTGTGGCTCTTGGAAAATACTAAGTCAAGTAGTCTGAAGCTGTCTTACAAGCTTAAAAGCACACACACGTCTTCATTTTAGGAACTTTTTCAACCTGAACTCTGAAAATAAATGTTTGCATAGGGTTTGTAATGTACACCTGGGGAATGGAAGGATAACCTTTTTAGTGGTGTTCCTGAAGCATACTATAACTAAAAAAGAAACTGAAGGTTGCAGATAATATGCATTGAATATAAAGCTCTGAAGACAAGGTTCAACAAATACTTAGGTGAAATATCTGAGTGCTCCATGAGTTTATTTACTAATCAGTGCACTAGTGTAGGAAGACATTTCATTCCTTCACATTTTCAAAGCGTAGAACAGCTATCTTTTACAAAAGGCATTTTTCAAACTAGCTCAGAATCCAAAGTAACCAAATTTTAATGCATCTTTTATATTTTTATTTGATTTCAAATCATCGGGTGTTTTGCAGACTTCTGTAGTGTCTCAAATTTGTTTGACCATTTTATGCTTAAAAGTTGAGAACCCCAGAAGTTGTACCTGTGGTCTGTTTCTTCAGTAGAACCTAATCAGGATCTGCACTAGGGTGAGATCACTTGGAATCCAGCAGGGATTTGTGTGTGATACGTAATGCCCAAAGTTCAATAAACAATAGACCGAAAATACAGTGTTAAGCGTTGGTACAGTTCCTGCCATATTAAGGAATTGGATGTCTTCAAAAATCTCAAGCGTATATCTGACCTACATATTTGATGTGCGACATCAGTGTGTGTCAGACATAATTGTGATGAAGGTAAACTTTAAGAGAGTTAAATTTAGACTTTAAATTAAGACTTTAAGAGAGTTTATTAATTTTCCTTGGGGTGGGTAGTACTCCCTAGCACTGTGATGGGTGCACAAGCTCCAATGCGATTTGCAGGCAGGACTGCTGCAACAGTCACGTTATGATTTAATGGGTATTCAAAAAGCAGTTTTGTCTTTGTATTATGTAATGATCAGATTGGATTTTAAAGCTATTTGAGACTATACCCGTAGTTCTTTACTGACTGACAGATAACTTCCCTTTGATGTATATAGAAGTTTTGGTTCATCTATATAGTAGTCTAAATGGAATCTTGGGAATTGATTGCTTTTTTCTGATTACAAGTGTACATGAAAGATGGTTTTAAAGACTTCCCTGTAACTCTTCTTTTTTTTTTTACCATTGGAGCACCTCACTTCTGTTCGCTCAACTTCTGCCTTCTGAATTTGTTCATGAAGGTGACCATGCACTTTTTATGAGGTGTCTTTATCACAAGTGGGGGCAAAAAATGGACATGTAGGAGCACTAGGGATGCCAAATATTTTTTTTTCAGGCTCTTCCTGCTGCTTCCATTTCTGCAATCCATTTTGTTGAATGGCCCCAAGGAGTCTACTTTTGTGTGTGCATGTCAACAGTTGTATATATCTGAGAACATGACACATGCAACAAAATTGGGAGCTTTATGTGCTTCTGTGAAAGAAATTGCAGACTTTTATTTAAACTGTGCTTGTAGAACTAACAGGCCCTTAAAAGGAAAATTAATTTATGTATTAAATTCTTAAAGGATACTTTTCATATTGCCAAAAAATAAAATAGATGTGCAAGACCGTCTTTCCACTCTGCCAGCTTTTTTCTCTTTTCCCTGTGCCAAGTGTGCAAAATCTGAGGCAAAATAACTTTTACTAAATATGTTAAGCTGCCATTGTATTGAAAGGGGCTTCTCTGAATTTTTAGGACTAGAATCTTAATCTTTGATTGCAATGTTGCTGCGAAGACCAAATCTGAAATAGAAGTGTCTGAAAAGATGGTCTATTTTATATAACTTATTCTCCTATTTTAGGCAAAGAAAGTGTGATTGGAATGTTAATTACCTTTTAGTAAATGTTTAACTATAGAAGCTGTCTATATGTGTTAGTGTTTGTTTCTATCTTTCAAAGCGATTTGCACACTTATGTAAATATCATTTAAGTGATTTAAAGTGGAAGAGATACCATTTAGAGCAAGAAAGTTTCCAAAATCAGTGTTTACTGTAAGAAAAATAAAATTAAGTTGTGCATGGAGGCTGAGTGATGGCCAATGCAATGTATATGTAAAATCGGAAAATTTCTAAATTATCTGTAACTTAAGACTCAGTATACCCGAGTGCAGTGTGAAACCTGTGCTTTATTTGTCCTTTTTCCAGATCTGTGGTGTATTAGAGTATAAAATGTGTTTGTAACAGTTCAACAAATGCTGCCTCTGGAGAAGAGGCTGTGTGTTTCACCAACAGGCAAAATAAAACTTGAAACTAATGCATTTGTGCTAACTTTCACTTCTGTTGATCAGGTTCTGCTGAGCACCACCATTTGCAAATGCGTATTATTTTTCAATCTCAAGCAGATTTTATGTGTGACCGTTTTACTGCAGATCATGTCACCAAGTATCACACGTGTATTATGTGATCCAGAACTAAGTCTTGGGAACCTACTGGCTCAGGTTTGAATGATGAAAGTCAGTGGTGGTCAGTCCTTTTGGCTTATTCTCTAGACATTTGTTTACAGCCGGTTTCATTTATCCTATGGTTTCGTTGTTATAACTGGCCTTTTGGTACCTTTCTGCTGGTGGCACATCTTGGGCAATTCGGTCCACTCAGAATAAAAAGGTATATATGTGTTTTGTTTCTCTTCTGGTTATAACATCTTGGTGCTTCATTGCTACCACTTCACTTCCCAAAGGCTTGTATTCAGAAAACAAAATTGTTGTATCGAGTGATCGTTAGACCTGAATTTGTCATCCTTAACAACACAAAACAGAGAAGGAATTGATTCTGCAATCCTGGATCTTCCTTAATCTTGGCTAGTTATGCAAGGCATTAAGACTGTGTTTCTAAAGATGTGGACATACAGATTCTTAGATCTGCCATAGAGATAGAGCACTGGTTTCCACGGTTGGGCTGGTTGAATGCGTGGCAAAATCTTGAAGTCTTCTGGAAGAATACACAAATGTGCTCTGAGATTTATCCTCATATGCTGAAATCCAGAAAGGATGTGAGAAAGTTTGGTGTGAGAACCTATCTTTGAGTGTCACTACCGACTGTCAGAGATGCATCATGTGTGCCTCTGGGCCCTGCTGGAGGCTCAGAGGTGCCTACACCAAAATGACTGAGGGTCACTTGGGTGTGGAGGATGCCCTAGCTACTAGAACTTCAACTTTAAGTTCTAGCAAGGATAGTTTTAGAAATGGTGTTTGTTGCCTAGCAAGAACACGTGTAAGTGACTTAATTGCTCTTTAGGTCATAGATTTTTGCTAATTTAAAACCGGGGTGGAGTGAGGAAGAGGGTTAGTTGGTTTTGGAATGATTCATTCTATACCTTTGTCATTTTGCATATATGTTAAAGTGTTGCTGGTTTATGTTTAAGCAGCTCTGTAGATGTACATAGTTTTTTCTCCCAAAGTTTAATTTGTAATTCTATTACAGGCTGGGGAGGAAGACTTTCTTTTAAAGCAGGGATGTTTTTGTATTTGAATGAAAACAGATTCTGTTAAAAGTATGTAGAACAATTAGTTTTCTATATGTGCTGGATTTGTACAGAAATAGTGAAGGGAGTGGGAACACTTGAAATAGGAGTGTGAATTTTAAGACTTCTGTGTTCATTGGAGTTAATCACATTTATTGGTCAGGTTGGATTTTCAAAGCAGTTTTCATCTATGAGGATTCAAGCTGGTCATTATTCAGTTAGATCCAACAAGAAGTTTCAAAAATTACTAGATTTCAACGTTTCAAAAGTGACAGATCTTCACAGGATTTAAGGGTATAAACTATAACTTTGGAGCTGCAGAAAAATCATATTTTCTAGCATTTTAAAGTCAAATGTGCTGGAATACTTGAAGGCTGAAGAATCTGGCACTGAAGTTCTTCAGCGTTACAGGAATTGTCCCTCAGATGTTGCAAATAAGCAGCTGTGAAAATGGTAAGAACTAAACTGCTCTCGGAAAAATGAAACTCTTTATCACTTAAGTTTATAATAAGTAGTGAACTTTTTGTTGTGTGTAGGAAATGGAAAAGAGAAGCCCAACCCCGACAACTAGTAGTCATAAAATTAGAGCAAGTAGATGCAACTTTCTGGAGCAGGAGGGAACCACTTGGGATCTGTGGTTGAGTGGGAGCAGTGATGTAAATCTCTAAGCTGATGGTCTGTAGAGGCCAGCATTCCCCAGAGCCTTGCTCATCTCTTCTTGTATCTCAGTACCTGCTGGAGATGATGGGAGTGCTGTATCTGACCACCTCCCAAAAGGCTGAGAGGGCCTTTGTTTCAGAACCATTGTTGTGCCCTTCAGCCATGATTTCCAGTGCGTATGCAGTGCAGCAGCGTAGCCTCCAGCCTGGAATGGGAGCGAGAGGCAGCTGCGGAGCTGCACGTATGTTTCAAGAACATATGGCTGTTGTTGGCTCATCTGCTGAGTCTAATGGGAATAGTGGTAACGAGCGTGGCTGGGCTCCGAGGCGCGTTGCTGGGATGTTGACTGGTGCACAACGAGTTTAGATTACTCGACAGAAATATTTCGGTACAGAAGTAGGCCCTATGGTGTGTGAAGTGAAAACACATTATCATCAGTTGCCTTGCATGTTTTGGATATGTATTTATGTTCCTTTATTTTAC